CTTTCCCTAAGCACCCATACCTGACCATCAGCAGACACAGGACACTGATTTTTTAGGAAGAGGGTTGTTTTGATATTCTCAGTATTGAACCTCTTAGCTGTTTGATAAACTTATAGCTTCTAAAACTACTGATGCAGTTGAGATTATATTTTAATTAATTGCCTGTCTTCCATTGAATATTCTTGCTTCTGTAATGTCAACTAAGGGTGTCTAACTTCATGCAATCCATGGTCCTTTGTCACATGTCCTCATATTCCCACTGATTATATCTCCAACTTAAACATCAGTAATCTCTTCAACCTCTTCTCATGACACATTTTGTTCAGCTCTAGTCCCTTCCCTGACCCTTATGAACACTTACAAATAAATATTCAGGATGATGGAACAGGAACTGGTACATACAAGAACAATTAATAAAGTTTTTACCATGCTATGCACCCTATGTTTAATTGCTTTCATCTGCTTCCACTGTTGCCCAGGAGATCTCCAGTAGGCCACAGCTCCACCAGAATGCTACCAGTATTACACAGCTGCTCTGCTTCGTCTGGGGTTTATGACTTTCGGAGCATTTCTCTTATGCACAACCAACACTTAGCTTGCTTAATTGTGCTGTGAAGTTCCTCACACCCCACTCCAGCCTCAATGAGAGAAAAACTGCAAAACTTACCTATTAACTACTGACCCTAGAAAGCGAGAGCCAAACTTTATTCATAGTTACGGCATCTGATACTGGTGTATTTTAGGCTGACATTTTAAATTTACTACTTAATATCTTTTATTATTTTATGTTTAAAAGTCTTGTGGGTTTTTTATAACTTAATTTCTAATATATATATATATTTTTTTTTTTTTTTAAGGTTCATGGTTATAGCCCAGAACACCAAACAAATACTGTCAATTCCTTCTGTGTACACACACCCAGGAAACAATTTCAAACAGATAATTTTCAAGGTGTTTGGCTGAGCCAGTCTGCAGTAGAGAAACAAACATTTCTCCACAGGGAAGATGCTGCAACGTTCTGGTGATCTGCTAATGCCAGGTTTCCACTTCCATTGATTTTGTGGATTCTGATTCTGAACATTGAACAGCTGCAGCAACTGCCTCCCATTCCTGCCTGCTGCTGTCCCCTCTCTGCTGGACCTATTTGCCCGCTCAGCACAGAGGAACACCCCCATCTTAAAGCCATTCCACTTCATCACCCAGATTTCCATTCCAAACATACCCTAAACTGATCATTGAAGTGTAGACATTGGGTTTTGCAGTTCATTCTTGTTCATTCTGACTGAGATATCAACCTTCAAGCTGGCAGAGAAAGTTCTCCTCAACTTTTATTCCTCTGAAAAAAAAGTCTCTTTTCCAGAGAAATATATAAACCTATTTTAGGATGCAAACTCCTAAACTGATACCTGACTAGTACTGGGGTAGCTACAAAAGAAGGCAGAGATAACGATATCAAATAAAAGGAAAAGAAAACCTCAAAACATTTCTACTTCAAATGTATGATTTTACTAAAAATAATTTGCCAATCTAGTATCTTGGGGGAAGGTCCATATAAAAATCCACAGTACTCTGATTCTGATAATTTTCAAAAAAATTATATTCATCTTATTTCTTAGGAATGCAAATCAGACATCTGAAATGAAATGTTATTCTCTCCACTTCCTTCTACTTCTCTCCAGTGCCCTTGCAGAGCAGGGTCTTGTTTCACAGCATGTTTGAGTGGCCCACAACATGCCAATGTTTCCTTAGTCTGGACAAAAGGCATTAAATAGTAACGCCTGTTGAATCAAATATCCGAACACTAAGTGATTAGTGTTACCAGGCTGAAGGTAGGGATTGAATCAAAAAACCCAGCCCTAAAACAACCTACCTTGCTAGATATTTAGGCTTGAGGATACTCTATTTTTCTATTGAAGCCAAATTTGTTGAAAAAGACACTGTTAAAGATGTTTCCTTTAGAAAAACTTAAATTCTAAACTTACCATTTTTGTGGCACCTTATAGCACTCAGACAACTATTCTGTCATGCTTTCTCACTAGGAATTTTGCAATTGTTTATAAGCACATTTTCACTAAAAGAACAAAGGAGTGTGTGCCCCATTTCATATAGAACTCTGATCCAATATAATTTTTCTCCTTTTAAAGACAATGCATTATCTAATTATTTTAAATACAGCATAGTATACAGTTTGTAAAAAACAACACCTCTCTTCTTGCTGTATTTAAGCTGTCAAATAAGGAAAGCTATTAAGGAGGTCTATAAAAAAATAGGACTGTACAGCTGTGTTTTAGGAGTGAGACTTTTCACAGCATATTAATTTTTGTATTATACATCATTCTTTATTAGTTCTTGAAACATATAAAATTGACAGCCTCCTCTTTTTAAGCAGAAGGTGGAACTTGGCTAATATTTTATAAATCTGCAATAAAACGTGGCTATGATTAACTTTCCAAAACTGACAATGAAACCTATGCCTCTGCCATCTCCTGAAAATGACAGACTTCATCTTAATTGTCATGAATCAATTCTCTAGTCTAAACCCTAATCGCTATCTTAAAGCTTTGGAAATGGCTTTCATCAACCCAGCCTCACATACTTTTAAAATCACTTAGCTTTAGAGTAATGTATTTAACTCTTTTCAGACTAAGAAAAATCAAATCCTGCTAAGGATGGAATCCAGAGCACACTGACAATCACCTCAGCTTTCTGCATAACAGCAGTGACCTTGGGCCACAATTAAAAGTGTCTCACTCCTTACATTCAGCTGCTGTCCCTGCAGCACAATTTGTTTTCCATTTTCCATTTTCTCTGCCTCACTCTCTAACCCACTACAACTGCTATCTGGAAACCACTGACAGCAGAGCTGTGAAGGTGCAAACCATGAAAATTTAAAACTTTTCTTAAATCCTGGCATTTTGAGACAACATGCCTAGTCAGAAGAACTCATCCATGACTCTGGGAAGACTCAACCTCACCCACTTCTCCCCACCTTTGGATATGATTTCTGTCCCTTTTACATGAACACCAAACCCATAACACTTCAATACAGCCGTATGAATCACCACTCTAAAAATACTCCTATTGAAACCATATCTGAACAAAACCCAGAAAGGCAGACAGAAGAACTGGCTACTAATTCTCAAGACCAGTCTAAAAATCATTAAAAACAATTGTGGAGGGAAGGGCTGGCAGTCCACTGACAGCAGCATGAATCACTCTCTTCTGTATCGACTACAAAAATGAAGATCTACATTTTTAATGTAATTTTTCTCACTAAGAACATAGAGGAACTTAATTACTTGTTGCAAGCAACCCACTTTCTACAGATGTATAGTCATTCTGGATGGACAAAGAAGTTTTCAACCTCATCGTGAAGCAAAAGAACAAACTACTTTTGATGGGGAGGTGGGAGGGGGGAGTGCACAAAAAGGAGGCAGCAGCCAGGAGGCTGAGTCACAAAGCAACACAAAAAGACAGTACAAGAAGCGTCCCACAAACATACACACGTGCATGTGCTTGCCAGAGCAAGCTTCTAATCCTGGAACAGAATACCCTGGTTTAGCTGGTGTAAAAGACAACAGGAACACGCAAGGACACTAATCCCACAAGGATACGTGACACACTACACATACCCATCTGTGTTCGTGGACATCAGGTGCCTTCAAAGAGAACTCTTTGAATTGGTTTATGTCAGGGCAAACAGCTCGACAATTCAAATACAGTAATTCATTACCAAAAAGTAATTGTTGCCCTTACATCACATG